TAAGTCTGGGAATTGCAATCCATCCTACCTGGTCTCTTTGTCACTTTTTGTGGGGGGGCGACTTTCTCATTCTCTCCTTCCAGGAACGCTCCTCCAGATTACGTCCAGAGCAGATTTTACATAATCAAGACAACCTACGTTCCTTTCTGGTATGAGAAAACTTTCCCAGGTGAGTTTCTTTGGATCCTGCCCTTAATTCCTGCCGGCCTCACGAAAAGCAGACGGCAATTCGATGGGGGAACAGAATCTTCCCCTGTCTTCTGCCGGCTAGCAGTTGTGCTTACGGGACGGTTTGCGCACGTAGTTGTGCAAACGTTAAAGAACCCGGGGCTAAAACGTGGCCGAGAGCCTCACGCAATGCACATTCCAGATCCTCGTTGTATATGTGGAATTTTACAGAAATAACCGTCGTTAAGCGGGGGAAGAACAGGTGGTTTGGGGGAAGATAGTCCTGGACTTATGGCCACAGTTGATTCACAAGTCCATCTTGCCAAGGGAGGCATGTGTTAAATGAGTTGTGCCCCATTTTACAACCTCCCTTGCCACGCTTGTTGAGCGTGCAACTAGGATGGCGAAGTGATCTGGCTTCCCCGTTGACGTTTGACAGAACGTGCCCCCTGGGGCACGGCGGCCATCTTAAGTATGAACCCGTTGACGAGCATCTGGATTTTGATTGCGTGACCGAGTGGGGGACGTTGCAACGGTCGTTAAGCGCGAAAAACATCCAGGAGTCGGTTATTTTTCCCTGTGCTGTAGTATCAAGCTGCGTGAGCCACATTTTGCAGGTCTGAAAGTACAGCTTCCCCCGCTGTCGTCTTTACGGCCTGAGGGATTCTCCTATCCCTCTTCCTCTGTCCGTTATGCAGCTGTGGGCCCAGCAGTCTCTTATTGGGCCATTTTTGAGGCAGTGGTCTCTCCTCTGTCTTCCGAGTAGCCCTTCCAATCGGGTCCCCGGGGGAGTGGGGAGGGCTCCTCTTTCCAGAACCTTCATCCCTCCGTGGAGAATCGCCGTTGACCAAAAATGGTCCTTTTTTTTTTCCTCCCGCAGAAATTATCGACTACCTGTTTGAAGAGACGTTGCCCACCTTGAAGGAAACCTACGAGAGGCTGGCCCAAAGACAGGGGGCCCCTCCGGTGGAAAGAAGCTGTAAAACGTCCTTCCGCTTCAACGACATTTTCCGAGATATGCTGGAAGATGAGCTGATAAACGACGAAGACCTCAGCGATGAGGAGAGCGGAGAACCGAGTCAGGCCAGCGCTTGAGATCCTGAACGAACGCTAGGAAGGAGGAGGAGGAGGCTTCCTGGCTGTTGCGGAATGGGAAACGATTCACCTTCTCCTTGGCCGCCTGCCTTCCATCCGGGAGAGGAATCGTCGTCTGTGTCAAGCCCGATGTTGAATTGTCTGCCGCATCTATTCATCTCCGCCCGCTGCCTTTTATCCCCAGAACTAGGGCGGGGCTTCGCTGGCAGCGGTGGCTCTTCCGTCCCGAGGACCAGCCCATAGATTTCCTCTGCTCTCCTCTCCTCTGCCTTCTGAGCATCCACAGGGCACGCACTCCTCTTCCTCATCAGCCACCTTGAGCCCTGGGGGCTGTTGACGGCCCAGGCTCTGCCTCTCTCTCTCTCTCTCTCTCTCTCTCTCTCAGGTTGCCTTATGCTGATCCTGACTCCTTCCTCCTCCTCCTCCGATTCAGCTGCTGGCCAGCGGCCGATGGGCCACAACAGGAAGTCTCAGGGACCTCAAATGATGTAAGCAGCTTCTCTCGACGCAGAAGAGGCCAGTTGCCATCCTCCCAGGAGGTGTCAGCCTTTGCGCCGAAGCCGCACGTTCTACCTTAGTCCTCCGCTTAAGAGGGACGACGGAGTCTCTTGTCTCCATCAGCCATTTTTTTCCTCCCACCAAGTGCCAAACTTTTCCCGGCCTTCCTCAGAAGGCCGCCTTTCGGATTGCCCAATCCGGAAGGATTTCAAGCCCTTCTTAAAATAAGATTTTGAGCCATTAAATACACACTTGGAACGGAACATGGGCTTTTCCTGGGCAACCCCCGCCCCCAGGGATTTCACGGCTGGTTCCAAGGGCACAGAGCCCCCCCAAAGAATGTTTTTAAGTGAGGCGAGACTTTTTTTCCTCCCATCTGCAGACGACAAACTCAATTTTTTTTTTTTGTCTGGGAATGAGAAACGTTTCAGGACCAAAATACCCCATTTCCCCATCCCCAGACATCCTGCTTGAAAGGAGGGTTGGACTAGAAGACCTCCCGAAGTCCCGCTCCATTATTCTAAATTTTGGACATTCCCGTCTTGCCTCGCTTAAATTTTTATTTCCAGAAGCCGCTGATTTCTCCTTCTGGAGTTGTTTCCAAAAGGTGAAGATGATTTCTTTTTAAAAAAAAACCCTCTCCGCTTTCAATCAACGCAGCATTCACCGAGGAATAAAATCCCGAATTTCGTGTGTCTGAAAGCATAAGCGATTCTCCTTCCCAGAAAAAGGCTAAATGCGACGATCTCTCCGTGTTTCTCACTCTGGAAAGCAGAGGGGTCTTTTTTTTAAAGTTTCAATGGTGCCTTCCCCGCCACCCCAAAAAAGTTGTTGCTAAGTTTTTCAGTTCTCAGCGCAGGGAAATGGCTCTTGGCTGCTTAATTTAGACAAGAAGCAATGCTAAAATTGCACACAGGGCAACGGGATTCTTCCTAGGTTGGGTCGTTTTTTTGTCTTTTGAATTTATCAGCTGACTTCCATTTTTATTTTATTAAAAGGGCTGGGTTGTGTGGTTTTTTTTTCCCCTGGTGGGTTCAAAACTATTTGTACGTGGGGTTTTTAATTTTTAGAAAAATAAAAAATAAATTAAAAACACAACGAAAGAGTGTCTCATCTCTGATCCTTTTGTCTGGTACCCAAGTGGCTTTTTTGAGAGCCCCCAATCATCTCAGTGCAGGTTTAAAATGCAACGTTGCCAACTGGCTAGCCCTGATATTTTCTGACGGTGAAGGGTTTCCTTTCATTGCAAGTCCGTTTCTCTCTCTTGTAAAACTTTGTGAAGCCTCTTTTCAGGGTGAATGCCTGTTTCTCGTACACGCTCCGCGTTGAAAGCACAAAACCTGTTGGAACTTTAATTTGGATAGAGGATAGAGCTGCCAATAAATTGATCGTGTGGCACGTTTTGCTTTTGAGTCCAGACTGAGTAAGTTTGGGTGAATTGGCCACCGTATAAATGACATCATTACTGAGCACAAACAAAAAATGGAAATTTATCAAACCCATGAAAGTGCTCAAACTAGGTTATGGGTACGCACAGGGAGCCACTTGTAGACAGACTGCCTAGCTCACTTCCTTATGTTGGTTTGTGATACATTGCAACAAAACAACCAAACTCGGAGCTACTGTATATAACACGGAACAAATCGCGCTCACTCACACTGATGATGCTACCTAGTTGGGTAACGAAACGTCTGCAAGAAAACAACTTCACTCAGAACTACTGATAAACGGAGCAAGTCGCACTCCCTTCTCGGACTGATGGTGTTACCTAGTGGTGGTCTGACCCAGGCTTCGTTCAAATTAAGGAAACAAACTTGAGTATAAAATCAACCCTGTTTTAATGCGACGCTGGGAGTTTCTTGCATTCCCAGCCAAAACTCATGAGAGACGATTCTCTGAGATAAGCTTGTGCCTTTCTGGGTTGTCGAAGGCTGCCAAGAAACAGAAGTCCAATTACTTAGAATATAAACCGACAGAAATTCCAGCAAAGACAAACCGCAGTTTGCAGAGCTTCAGTGAGGAATCAGAATCTATTGAGCTTCTTTGCTTCCTGCAGAGAGCACATCATCAAGATCTGACTTTTATGGGAGGGGCAATCACCTCCCAGCCTTACTCCCGAGTTGCCCCTTTTGTCTCTGCTGCTCTTGCCTTCTAGCAGCTCCGTGCATACGCACACTGGGAACAGGCTCCCTTCGCTCCTCTTCCTCGCTGCTGCCAGACTCCAGAGGCTCCAGAGTCAGCACCCCATCTCTGTGTCAGACGCAAGACCCTCGTCCAAGTCCTTGTCAGACTCCTGGACTGGTTCCCTTTCACCCTCACTCTCCGATCCTGCTGCCGTCTGCACCGGTTGGGTCAGAAATACAACTGATCCAGTCTGATCCAGATGTTAGAAGTTGACTGGCTGACCTTGGGTCAATCCCCAGGAGGTGGTGAGTTCTAGTCCTACCTTATAAGGGTAGGAAACCTGGCTGAGTGATTTGCTCTCAGCCCAAGCAACCTCACAGTGTTGTTGCTCTTGGAGTGGGGGAGAGAAGGAAGAAAGGAGCGTTAGATGTGCTCCCCAATTTGCATGACAAAATAACCAACACTGGGGGGGCCAAAATCCACTGCATAAGTAAATAAGGCGCCTCCCCACTTAGAGGGGGGGGGAAATGCAAACTCGATTAAGTCGAGCTACTCCTGGTGCAAGGAAAGAAAGAAAGATGCAGGCTAGGGGGCCATTGGTTGCATATTTTCCCCCCTCCCCCCCAAAAGAAGGGGGCCCAGAGAGAGAAGCCGGCCTCTTGCAGGCAAAGCGAGCGAGGCGGCTCCAGAGCTAACGCTGTTTCCCAGCCTGCAACGGTTGGCTGGCATTGCTGGTGGCCATTGAGATGCCTTTGCGGACTTTCAGTTGGACGGAGGTTGCTCCCAGAACACTGTTAGCATTCTGGTTGCCATAACAACCAGCCTCTCCATTCCCTGGCGGGGGGGGGGAGTTAGCCTCGCAACTGGCATCCAAAGGATGTGATGCCACCAGACTTGTGGACCGGCTGAATTTTTCACTCTGCTGGACCCAACCGTCCATTTCTTCCTTCCAAGGGTCCTGCCAGGCCCAGGGTGGGGCCAGTCCACCTTCTCCCCCCCCCAGTGTCCTTGGCAGGCCCCCCTCTCTCCCGAGTGGTACGTCCCTCAAGGGCTGGACCCAGCAGCATCTCTCTGGCTTGCCAAGGGAACACCTGGAGAGCAGCAGCAGCAGCCGGATGGCAGCTGTGGCCGCCCCCGCCGGGGCCAAGAATGCCCCCCCTGCCAAGGTGGGCCTCCCCCGCCGGCGCAGCGTCAGCCAGATCTGCCCACCCCCCCGGCGCCCCATGACCCTGGCGGAGCTCTACCCAGGCTGCGAGAACGAGCGGCTGGGGGTGGCCAGAGAGAGCATGCTACAGAACCATCTCATTGCCAAGGTGAGCAGGAAGGAAGGAAGGAAGGAAGGGAGGGAGGGAGGGAGGGAGGG